GCGCTTTTGTCGAGCGCTGGGTCGCTTCACACGGCTGTCCAGCCACAGTGACTACAGACCGCGGTCCGCAATTCGAATCTACGACCTTTAACGATCTCCTTAAACTCATTGGATGCCAACGCATTCGCACGACCGCCTATCATCCGCAAGCGAACGGCATGGTGGAACGTTTCCACCGACAGTTGAAAGCCTCACTTAGCGCCGCCAATGCGCTGAGTTGGACTGAGGTGCTGCCTATGATCCTCCTTGGGATCCGATCAGCCCTAAAGGCCGATCTACGTACGTCTAGCGCCGAGTTAGTATATGGACAACCACTGCGTTTACCTGGCGATTTCTTCTCCGTTAGTCCCAGAATTACCCGTTACGACGCAAATTATGCACGTCAGCTAGCCACGAGCATGCGTCAGTACAAGCTTCCCGACGTTAGAGAACAACAACGTAAATCTTTTATTCCACAAGACCTGCAGCATTGTCCGTTCGTTTTTCTCCGCCTCGATGGTCTCCGCAGACCACTGGAGCGACCTTACGAAGGTCCTTTCAAGGTTCTGCAGCGTAAGGACCGCGTTTTTATCATCGACCGTCACGGTAAACGTGAAGCCGTTACGATTGACCGTCTCAAGGTTGCCCACGTGGAACCTGAGCTCGACGAAGACCCTTACTCGTCTTCTGACGAATCAACGCAGCCTATGATGGAAGACTCGACTGCTTCCAACATCCCTGACCCCAAGTATCACGCTCCATCCAAGCCTTCCACTTCAGCTCCGCCGCTTCCCATCGAACCAACTGCCACGTCTTCAGCAGTTCCTCCAATTTTGCGATCCGATAGGACGTCTAAGACGACGCCTTCCTCTGATTCGAACAAGTCGACTAGGTCGGGTAGACGCGTTCATTGGCCAGCTCGATTAAGGGATTAGCGTTCCTTTCACTTTTCTTATTGCTTTTCTTTTCCCTTTTGGCCAACAACGTACGAAACCCCCAAAAGCTTTTGAAAACGCCAAAAAAACCGACAAAAGTTTTTTTGAAAACCCAAAAAGAACGCAAAATGTTTTGAAAACCCAAAAAAGAACAAAACGTTTTGAAAACACAAAAAGCTGCGTTTTGCCTGACGCCTACCTCATCCGGTAAGTGTCACTCTTGCTTTTGCCCTCGCCTCCACCGTCACTGCTCTTGTTTCCGTTTATCTTCCATGTATGAACCGGAGGAGATGACGAGCCTGAAGCGAACATTTGACCTTCACGAACTCGCGAACATTTAACGCTTACGAACTTCCCCTATTTTGTTTTTGGCACCGTTAGGGAGGACACGGGTGGGAGCCCGCTAGGGTCCGATCGCCTGGTTCTCCCCCAGCAGCTGCATCAGGTTTCACTACCTGGTCTCGCAGAAGGCTGGCCCGCGACGGACAGTCCTCACGTAGATCGAAGGGTCACCCACGGTTTCCCTTCTAGGAGGGGGGCTGTGTAGCGACCTGGAGATTCCCCCGTATGACTGTGTAAACTATTCTAAAATATTCAAATTATAGCTTTCTTATGTATTAGGGAACTATTCGGTTTGCCTGTTGGAACGTTGTTCCCGTTTGTTGGAAACACGAAAACGATCTCCGCCTTTGGCGCGCGGCTCGACTGCGAACGACGCTCCGTCTACGCTCTCGACGCCAACGACATTCTCCCTAGCTAGCTCTCTCCGGGTGCCCTATTTTTAGCATTAGCTAACGCTCCTCCCGTCCAATAAACTTCTTCCCTAGTTTACTTTTGTGTCTTCTACCCACTGCTTTTGGTTGGCCGTCTAGTCGCGTACCGGATATATAGCGCACGATCTACGCGCTATAACGTCAATGCTCTAGATCTCTTAAACTTCGTTCATCTATGCGTGAACTGCATTTTACTGTCACACGCGCACAAACTAACAAGTGTTACACACCAAACGATCTGGCACCTTGTTCACGTGTGTGGCTACGGAATGATGCAGTCCGCAGGCCTTTGCAGCCACTGTACGAAGGACCATTCGAGGTGATCGCTAGAACAGAAAAACACCATATGATCAATAGGAATGGTAAAGTCGATGTAGTTTCGCTAGACCGACTCAAACCAGCTTACATTGAACGACCTTGCGAAAAGCAATCAACATGTCCTGAAAACACACTACGTACACAGCAGTCATCAAAGCTCGTTGAAAGTGACCCTATACAGTCAACGTCTGAAGCTAAACCAAAAGAGACTAGTACGCGGCAAACACGGTCAGGTAGAAAAGTTCATTTTCCAGACCGCTTAGTGTACTATGCATCTTGACAGTACCGTCTTGTGCTGCTCATTTGTCTGCACTGCCTTATGTTAGTTTTTTTCGCTTATTCTCCAGCTTCTGCCAGGACGCAAAAGAACATCCCTCGTAAAAGCAACAGGAAGAACAAGATTGCGCCATTTAAGCACAATGGAATTACCATCACCATCCATTACGATCCTCATTTTGCTCCCAAACTTTTCTCTGTACCTTAGACACAGAAGCTTAGCCTGCATACCTCCAATGCCCTCTGCCTCGGGCATTTCTTGCGACACTGTACTAGGTAGAGATCAGTTTTTACCGGCCGTTCCCACCGGGTTTTTTTACTCCTAGTCGTTTGAACATCGTGCGGCTAACGCACTGGTGGGGAGGTATGTAGGACCATCATGCATTTTGCCCAACACAAGTTACCAGTAGGATACCATCTGATCAGCTGACATTTCCACCAGCCATATCGACCAATATTCGGAACCTCCACCCACTCATCACCGACCATAGAATTTTGAAACTGACTAGCTAAAGTAGCCTTACCATCATTACGCTTCTTTTCATGTTCTTCCGTGATTATTCGTGGGAGCATTAAGATACAACAATGGGCATACATCCTCTTAATTCTTTATGGCATCCAAAGACGACGGGACATTAACTCCGAACTCCGCACCTAACCAGCGCTCCTACGGACTCTTTGTTGACCAATATCACCGTGTCAGAGGCACGGGTGCTTTCACTGCTGCAAAAACTGAACCTTACCAAAGCTGCTGGTCTTGATGCCATTCATCCAAAATGTTATATGAACTTGCAAGTGAACTTTGTGAACCCGTAGCTTGACTGTTTGGGAAATCTCTTACCCGTTGCACCTTACCCACCGACTGGAAGGAAGCTGTAGTTTGCTCCATCTTTAAAAAGGGAGATAAGCATCTTTCTGTAAACTACAGACCTGTCAGTCTAACCTGCGTGCTGGTTAAGTTGCTAGAAAAGCTGGTGAGGGATGCCATCGAAAACCGTTTAAGGATGTTTAGCCTTCTCAGCCCATCTAAACATGGTTTTCCGAAAGGGTACTTCTGCCTGACCAACTTGATGTTTGCTCGGGAAAGTTGTGCGGAGTCTGTCGATCAGCGTCAGTCAGTGGATGTGCTATTCATTGAATTCTCCATAACGTTTGACTCTGTCTCGCATATTCATCTTTCCATTAAGCTTCGTTCCTACGGAGTTTCTGGGCACGCGCTTCGATGGCTATCCGCATTTCTCGAAGGGCGAGAGATGTGTTCGGGTGGGCTCCAGTCTTTCTTTCCGACAGCAGTTCTGAGCGGTGTCCCGCAGGGATCAGTTCTTGCTCCACTGCTATTTGCTATGTACGTAAATGAACTGCCAGCAGTGCTGGGGCTGCCTACTTTCATGTTCACCGACGACTTGAAGTTTTAGTGCACGGTGTGCGACCCCGATGGCTCCCAAGTTATGCAACAGGCTCTTGACAAACTTCTTGGTTGGTCCGTTCTTTGGTATGTGCCAATAAACTACAGCAAGTGTTCAGTTTTGCGCATAGAATCAAATGGTCCGACGACGCACTACATGTTTAGCGATAATGAAATCCCTCAGGTATCCCAACAAATTGACTTAGAGATCACTTTGTCTCAGGACTTTAAATCCAGCGACTTGCTGGGGTTTTCGAACCCTCTGGATGATCCGTACGTCATCTGGGATCCTAACGGAAAAAGTGTTTGTTAAATTGTTTACGTCTTTGTTACACCTCACCTGGAATATTGCGTCCAAGCTTGTCCTCCTTGCCTTGACAGGATGACGGTAGAGTGGGTCTTGAGAATCTGAACCAAAATGGTCCACGGGTTGCGGCACCTGTCCTGTCCTGACAGATTGCTCGAGCTAAGGATGTTTTCGTTACATTATCGTCGTCTTCGTAGCGACCTGATTCTCACTTATCGTATACTGACAGGGTGGATAGGTCCAGACCTCACTTGGCTTTTTCATCCTGCATAGTTACCTACTCTCTGCGCGCATCCGATGAAATTACGAAAACTCAGATCTGATCAGGTTCGGGCTGACACTCATTTGTCACGCCGAGTGATAGATTCTTGGAACGCGCTGCCTGAGGATATAGTCTTGTTATTCACGGTGACAGAGTTTAAACGTTGCCTCGACGTCCTCAACTTATAGCTCCGAATCTTCCCCTTCTCTTAATTTAGTTTCTGTTTACTCTCCAGCTATCTTCCTTTTTATTCACTCTCACTAACTTCCTCTTCATTGTCCTCCTTCATATCCTTCCGCTTTATATCTAGTCTACAATTTACTTTTCCTTTTTTATTTCACGCGGTCAGCGTAGCGGGGACTACTAGCCCAGGGCATGTGGGTTTTGATTGGTTGGCCATGATTTGATTTGTACTTGCTGATTTGGCTCCCACTACTGGCCGATCTTGCCACCGCATTCTAACGTGGATCAGTAACGCATACAGGATGGAACGACCATAGGAATTTCCTTTTGTTCTTCCCCCAATTTGCATTTGAATTTCATCGGCTGCTGTGACCCAGGCATCTAGCTCGCCATAAGATGATTTTGCACCCAGCTTCTGTTGTCGGGTGGTTGTGATAAAGCTATCCATCCGCCTTTACTGTATTTTTTTTGCATTTCAGCTTCTCAGGTCAGGTACGAGCTACTTACGTATTGGACACACAGGCCATCCGAATCTTTAACCGGAGGGATACCACAGTCGTTTATGAGCGTCCTGGGTGTTGAATTTGATCGCACTTTGGTGCTGTTAAACGATGAAAATCGGTTCGTGCGGAAAAAGGCGTTGAATGACATCGGTTCCTATTTGTCAACAAAATCGGGATATCTTAACTATGTCTACAATGAGCGCAGCCTTCTCCCGCTAACCGAGCTTGCCCAGAGCCTGTCTTCTACATTGAACGACAATATAGAAGTGAACCGCGAGCTTGCGGTTAAGATAAATCATATGTTGCTGGATTTAACTCCTGATATTTGCAATGTAGCTTCCTCCTTAATACCCGTCCTCGTTAAGCGTTTGGGTCAAAAGGAGGTTGTGGAACCATCAGAGGAACTGCGGCTGGACACCCTACGGTTGGTTCAAGTCATGTCTGAGAAGATGTCGGATATTACTCCTTTTGTTGACGAATTGCTGACCATTATTCAACATTCCTTGATGGATTCTTATCACGAGGTAAAAAAGCTTTCCTGCAACATCGCACAGGAGCTCGCACAAAAAGGAGGGGAACGCTTTTATAGAACTTCAGAGTGCCTTATTAACCCATTACTCGCTAATCTTATCCACCAACATTCTAAGGTTCGAGTAGCTGCCATCCAAGCTATTGGGACGGTTCTTGTCCACAGTCAAAGCAAATTAGTGGACCAGACAATTTTGCCACTGACTCAGCGTCTGTTCGATCCTGCCTGCGCTGTCCGGCGTAGTGTAGTTGAGGTTGTTGGCTACTGGCTACTGGACCTACCAGATCGATATTCATATCACACAAGCCTTCTTCCGCTCATTCTTACTGGGATGCTGGATGATTCCGTTGAAATACGTGAGCTTACGGAGAGCCTCTGGCACGACATTGGTAATAGCAACTTTCGCACTTTTTAATAATTAACAGGACTAAAGTTTGAAAAGGAGAACGAAGAACAACTAAAGGACAAGCTCGATTTTCAGACAGGGCCTCCATATTATTATCCGCTTGGTTGCCTGCAACCTACTTTTGGTAAGAGATTATCTACTATTCTTTCGCGTATTTTCTAAGAATATAGCCACATCACTGTGAAACTATGAGATGACTGCACCTTTTGGGTTCATTCGTATTTTCTGACCTCATTCTGCTGACCATGTCGGCACCATTGGACACCCAGGGGTCCAGGAGGGGACTCTCATAGGACGGCAGATATTTCGGAATAAATAAGGTCCGACAAAGAATAAAAAGCATATCTTTTATACATTATGCTGAATACTTTCCACTTTAGTTACTAGTATTTCATTTTTGTAGCACATGGTTCATGCAAATATAACTACTTGCATTTCACACTTCCTTGTTTCTCATTCGTTACGTAGGCGCATAGTAACGCGACTTAAGTATTGGCACATTTGCAACATGCAATGCATAGTTGCTTGGGTGCACACTAGTTCGTTTGCGTTTCAGAACCGTTTTCTTACTTCTTTTTTCCCTTTGCTCCCTTTCCCTCTTTACGTCCCAAAAATGTCTAGTTGGCACTCCGATGCGACTAAACGGACACCCGTGGGATGCTCAAAAGACGCCCAACGGACACTCGTGCAATTAACATACTGCACAACATCCCACCATTTGCTCCAGTAGGAACTTAACTCTTTCACGCAGATCTAATTCATTTGCTTTCCACTTCCAGTCTCAAACCGAGCCTCCTTCACAATCATCACGCCTTAGTTGCCCTCACTCATTGGCTTGCAATCCAGGCAGATTCGGACCGAGAATGCTATTGTTTTAACAATGAAATCGTACATTCAAAATAACGCGCCTACCGAAAGAGGCAGCACGCTGCGACTACGGAGGATATGCAGAGGCTTATTTAGAGAATAATGCCATTTTACCGTTAGTTGGCGTGCCTTCAGTAGCCGCTGCGCTTTCCCTCTGCCGGTTGGTGCGCTGTTTCAAGATTTTAGTTTCTTTTTGTACAGTAGTATTCGACCTCTCAAAGCTAAATTGTAGTTGGTTGTGGTCACAGTTATCTAATTCGCAGCGGTTGAGGAACATACGAAACTAATCCTGAATTTTTCGAGGATGCGTATCATTGCTCTCAGGTAGAACTCAGCGGAAATCTACAGTAACTGTCCCGAACTGAACTTGCCTCACCGCTTTGTGTGCCTGAATAACGAATCAAGGGCTCTGGGTGGAGTCCTCCAGATACACCTGCGTTATGGGTCAGACTTCTGGGTAAAAGGCTGTACTTTTGGAAACTTGAACAACGCCTTTCGGTTCGGGCAGCAAGTGAGCATCATCTACTTAGAAAACCTTATTATTCTTTCCTCCTGTTTCCACATTTTCTCGAATCTTTGTCAATCGACAATGGATCATCGCCGACTTCATTAGCTACGTCGAAAGGATAGGTCGATCTTTTCAAGCTGGCGATTATGTTTCCACCTTGTTTTTAAGCCTTTGCTGACTGTCAGATTTGCTTTGCTGCTTTTCCGAAGTGCGCTTACATAACAATAGTGATTCTATGCATCTGCAGTTATTGGATTCAAATTCCAGTGATAGGGCTTGTAGGACTAGTTAATACTAGTCCGAGACGATGCGCGGAATTAAGCGCGGATATCAGAAGGCAATTGGAGTCGGACACAGCGGACTGTATTCGATGGGCTACAACAAGAAGCGGACGGATGAAGCGAGGCAAGAGCGTACACGTGAGCGCGGGAACTTACAAGGCAGTTGTGTGTCGAGCCGGTTGTAAGATTAAAACAAGGAGTAATGTACAATCGGTCAACAAGTAAATTGTACATGAAAGATAAGAGTTATCTTTTTGGGCGCTACAGAGCTCCCCCCCTAGAAGGCTGAACATAGAAAGCCTTCGAAATCGAAAGGGAATGTTAAAACGAGGTTCGTAATGCGAAATCGTGACGAGTAGAAAGGAGCGTGCGTTCGTGTAAATGGGGGATCGTCGGAAGTCGGAGTCCGCTGTGCCGTTTATGATTTGTTATTTATTGAATGCAGGGCAGGGTGCATTTCGGCGAGCCGTTGGAGCGGGCTTGTCGGACTACAAAAAACTGGCTAGCCCAGAAAAAGGCCGACTGGACCTCAACCTCCGCTGCTGCCAAACGGTGCGCTTGGGAGTGGTCTCTCCCCCCGCCGCACCCCGCCCCGCGCCAAAACGACCCTCGTCCCACGTAGAAACGACCATGGTCCACGGAGAAACGACCCTCGTCCCGCGAAGAAACGATCCTCGTCCCGCGGAGAAGCGACCCTCGTCCCGCGAAGAAGCGACATTCGTCCCGCGGAGAAACGACCAGTGTTCGCGTCAGGGTCCTTGAAAACATTCCTCGTGTGGGCCAGTCGATCAAAGGGGAGTGTTGGGGCATGTAGAGACGAGAAAATAGAAAAACACGCGCAGAAAACGCCAAAAAGAACAAACGAATGATCTGCGTGTTTAAATATTTTTGGTTTTTGAATATTTTTTTCGATAAAGGTTTTTTGGAAGTTTTTGATATTTTTGTTTGTTTTCAAAACGTTAATCGACCAAAAACGGGGCAAATATATACAATATCTACAAAGCTAAAAATATTTACACTGTACATAGTCGGAGAAACGGACGGGCTTACGCACCTCCCGACCACGGCGATTGGTCGTGGGAGGCGGCGGGCTAGATTCGGGAGAGGTTGGGACGGCTTGTAGACCGAGATCGTGGTCTGGTTGAACTGGACTAGGATGCTGTAAGTTGGTGCCATTATTTGTGACGTCGCACGAAGCACTACTAGACGAAGTAGGTGAGGGGTTTTCTTCCATAAAGGCGGGTTTTAGACGGTCGATGGTGACGACTTCGTGTCGACCACCGCGGTCAATAGTGTACGCCTTACTCGCACGATGCAGCACCTTGAAGGGTCCTATGTACGGCGACTGAAGAGGCTGTCGAACACCGTCTGCGCGAAGAAGGACGTGTGAACAGGTAGACAGCTTCTCGGGCACGTACACTGGTGTCTTCTGTGCTCGAGGAGCGGGTGGACGTAGCTCACGCATCTGGTGAGCCAATCGATCGGTGTAACTTCCGTAGTCAAAAGTGGAAGTACATGGGGCTGGTGCTACCAGCTGTCCGGGCAACCGCAGCGTGCAACCGTAGACTAGCTGCGCTGGTGTGGCGTCGAAATCGGTTTTAACCGTGTTTCTTAAGCCTAGAAGAACGAGGGGAAGCGTTTCAGACCATGAAGGATCTGCGTGCGCACGTAGCGCTGCCTTCAACTGGCGATGAAAACGCTCCACCATGCCGTTAGCGGCCGGATGATACGCCGTCGTCTGGACGTGGCGACAGCCTAAATCCTTAAGCAACATGGCAAATGTCGACGAGAAATGTGACCCTCGATCGGTGGTCACGATGGCGGGACAGCCGTATTGAGCTACCCAACGCTCCATAAAAGCTTTCGCTACCGTTTCCGAGGAGCAATTTGGGATAGGGACGGCCTCAGGCCATCTAGTAAATCGATCGATGCAGGTCAGTAGATATACAGAGCCTTTGGAAGGCGGCAGAGGACCTACAAGGTCGACGTGCACGTGATGAAAACGTGCGTCTGGCGTCGGAAACGTGCCTAATGGGCTTCTCGTGTGCTTGTGCACCTTCGCGCGTTGACACGGAAGGCAAGCAGCTGCCCAGGTACGGACGTCCCGATTAACATTGCGCCAAACGAATCGTGCGGTTACGAGTTTAACCGATGCACGAACGCCTGGATGAGACAAGCCGTGCAACGTGTCGAACACGGTCTGCCGAAACTCGCGTGGGACGACTGGGCGCGGCGTGCCCAGAGATAAATCGCAGAGTATAGTTCCGTCTGATGATGTCAGCGGAACGGGTCGTATGCCCAATGAGGGAGACCTCCGTAGTAGATCAACCTCAGGATCGTTGAGTTTTGCTGTGGCCATGGCTGCCAAGTCGATAGCAGTGCCGGTGTCAGCGGAGATAGCTTGGATGCGGGAAAGTGCATCGGCGACGGCGTTGTGCACACTTGAGACATGCCGTATATCGGTCGTAAACTGAGCGATATAGTCAAGGTGGCGCGACTCTCTAGGAGAGTGTCGGTCGGTGGTCGAGCCGAGCACGTAAGTCAGGGGTTTGTGGTCGGTGAAGACGACAAAGGAGCGGCCTTCTAGGATGTGTCGAAAGTGACGTATCATTAGATATACAGCTAGTAGTTCCCTACCGAACGTGCTGTAGCGAGATTCGGTAGGTTGTAGGCGTTTGGAGAAAAAAGCTAAGGGTTGCCACGTGTCGGCTACTCGTTGCTGCAAAACAGCGCCGACTGCCACGTCCGAGGCGTCAGTACTGAGGGACAGTGGGGCGGCCGGATCGTGATGCGCTATAGAAGCTATGTTGACGATAGCCTCTTTCAGCGACTTAAAAGCAGCGCGTGCTGCGGCAGGGAAATCGAACTTCTTGAGTTTCCCTCGGAGAAGATCCGTGAGGGGTTGCATCAGCGAGGCGCAGTTGGGTATAAATCGTCGGTAAAAGTTGACAAGGCCATCAAAACGCCTGAGCTGTTTGAAAGAATGAGGCTCGGGGTAGTCGATGATGGCTTGAATTTTATCCTGCAGTGGCACGACGCCTGCAGAAGAGATACGATGGCCGAGGAAATTTACTGAATCGACACCAAACGAACACTTTTCTGCGTTGATCGTCACCCCGTGTTGAGATAAACGATCAAAAAGTGTTCGTACGTGGCGTATGTGCTCTTCTCGTGAAGAGCTTGCGATTAAAATGTCGTCAAGTTACGCGTAAGCGAAGTCTAAACCGCGACAAACTTGGTCGATGAAGCGCTGAAAAGTTTGCGCGGCGTTCTTTAGGCCAAATGGCATGCGCAGAAACTCGAACAAACCAAATGGAGTCGTCTCGGCAGTTTTAGCGATGTCCGCCTCGGCTACCGGAATTTGGTTGTATGCGCGTACCAAGTCGATTTTGCTGAAGATACTTTTACTCGCGAGACTGGCGGTGAGATCCACTATGTGTGGGATCGGATAGCTATCGGGCGTGGTAACCGTATTCAAGGATCGATAGTCGCCGCAAGGACGCCAGTCCCCCATGACCTTCTTCGGGACCATGTGC